AGAAGAATGAACCCATTTGCAAAGACGCACCACTGATTCTCAAAATGGACTAGTTTTAAATGGCTTTTACCAAAAGCAATTTCTGCAATGTGAAAGAAAGAAACAGATTTTGAATTAATAGCTTTTTCCCTGGGTTTTAACTGAATCTGAATTTCCATTTAACATATGCCATTAAAAATGGCCAGTTCCACATCTCAGGGCAAAAATACTGAATGTATATCGATGCATAATACATAAAGGGGAAAAAAAAATAAGGGGGAGGGGAATAGAAAGCCACATAATTCATCTGAGTTCAGGACCAGTTTTACCACAGAGTAGAATTCAAAATGAACCTAATGTGCTGATTCTCTTGTGGATTTCCTGCTTCATTACAGAACAGCCTTACCAAGACTGAAAGTTATTACTATGCTCTGTAAGCTTCCAAACCTGCCTGCCTTTTTCCAGCGAGCTGAGAAGAGTTAGGGTAAATAGAATGCTTATACAGTTAACAAATGAAATGCAGCACCTTCTCCACAGATAGACTGCAGTCTTGTGTTTTTACTATTTATTAGCCCTCTGCCTTCTTTTGAGAATCCAGAACTTGAAATTACTTCTAATAACTAAAGTTCCCAGCAGCATTAAATACACAAATCCAAGTTTTTTTTTCCTCAGAGGGTAAACCACAGCAGAAAACAGTTAAAGAGAATCATGAGCAAACGACAGCACGTGAGGTAATCTCTGCGTGTATCCTTTTCAAGAAGGCATAAAAATATTGGAAAAGGAGATGTCTGCACTGGAAATTGTTAGAAAAGAAGGCACTTCCCATAAATGAGGAAAAAAAAAATCCCTGAAATATGCCTCTAGCCACAGTGCATTGCAGAAATTCATGTTCAAATTACCCTTTCCACTAAGCTGCAGTGGGCTTCTCAAAGGTGGATAATGGTTTCTTCATAAAGAATGGGACAGAGGGGGAGGTGAGGGATGAGGATGGGGAGAGAAAAGGAGGGAGAAAGAGCAGTAGTTAAGGATATGAGGCACTTATTTGTGGCTCAAAATAAGGACAATACACAGTACAGTGTGCTGGGTTCTGTCTCACTGCCCTTTTTCAATTTTCAGGAACAGACATCTATAATAACATCTGAAAGCACCTTATTGAGATACTGGAGGGATACACCTCCCTGTCTGCAAACTAATATAAAAATCCTTGCTATCTGTCCTCCACAGGTCACTACTTCTAGCCATTTACAAGTAAAGTTCCTAAGGTCTTATGCTGCTTCAGGAGGTACTGATGGGCAGTCTGACCTGACCTTCATCTGCTTCAAGTACAAAACAGACCAGTACATACAGATGGTAGTCAGACAGACATCTTCATTCTTTTCTGTCCCCATCCCTATCTTGGATGCCAGTACCTAAATATCAAGCGTCTGTATCTAATGTTATTGTATTATACACAGAACAACAGTCTTCAGAAAAACATACACACAACTGTATTCCTATACACCATACTGGGACTTGTACACACTGGAACCTGTGCACACACACAGATGCACACATAGAGCAACTACATACGTAATTACTAGTTGTTGCTCACCTATAACTTGCTGTTTGTCCATGCAGTTGCTTTAACTGTGAGCAACAGCGGTGATGGTTCTGAAACTTTAGACCAATGTGCCATCTAGTGACAATGCAGGTGATCCTGAAAACCGAATTCAGTTCTTTCTAGCATTTTATCTGAAATAGAAATCACTGACTCTTGCCACAGGAACCTGCTCAAGTTTGGAAGAGATTTGTGTTTTCAAGTTTTTACTTTGTACTGCAGGACCCTGTAATCATGAGTTTCTGTACTGACCTGTGTGGCTTTTAGAGCAAGGCTTAGCCTGCAACAGACAATTTGTAGCTGCATTTTCCTGCACCTCCGGTTATGGTTTCTACCCACATTCTTAGAAAATCCTGCTTTACAGTGTTACAAGAACCTGCCAAGGCATTCTAATGGTAATCTGGACGTTACAGGCCTTGCCTGGCTTTGCTTTTTTCTGTCTGCAGTTAGAACAGCTTGATTAGGTTATAATGGAGTTCATTTATATTTGAAAATGCTCAATTGCCAGGAGATAGGTGTAGAAAAAGCAGATGAGAGAAAAAAGACTAAGATTTTACTCTGAAAAATGCCCTTAACTTAAAAATGAGCAAGAGGCAATCATTCAGCAGAGCAATATCATCACCTGCACTGCAACCATACCTGAAGGACAGTGAAAGCATACAGGGAGGCTGGCAGAAGACCTTGAGTTTAATTCTGCATTTTTGTGACTTTCGTAGGGCTTTGGTTTAAATAAAATGTTTCCTAACCTGGTTATATATGTGTTAAACATATGTACACACCAACATATACATGAAAGTTTAAAAATAGACACCTGTCAAATTAATGTCTGAATAAAGATTAACTCCTCCAAATAATTCTTGAGTGGAAGTTTCTAAGGGCAAACTCAAGAGCGAGAGGCAGAAAACTGTAGTACAAGGTACACACCTGTACAAGACAGTTGACATGGGTCAGAACTGAGATGATAAAATGCCAGAGCAGTCTACAAGCTATTCATAAGGCACACTTCAGAACGAATAAAGGTCAAGAAAGGAATAAGCTTTCCTCAAATCACTCCGAAAGCAGAAGATAATCACTATTCAATCTTTTCTCCTACAGAAGTAGAACAAGCTCAGAAGAGATGATCCAAGCTGGAAAGTACTTGAGGACCTCAGAAGAGAAATAGACAAATAAGCGAAACAACTGAAAGAGGTCAGGTGCCAATTCTAAACAGCTCACATGTCAAGATTGTTGATTCTGGAGTGTAGTGTACTAATCAGCTTCATTTAATATGCCAGTTTTCCCCACAACTAACGTTTAGCTTTGGATGTGCTGAGCAATCCCACCTTTGTAAATACATTATTACCCTTTTAGTCTTGTATCCAGTACAACAATGAAAATCCCCAAGTCATTCTAAGAAAAATAATACATGTAGCTTGTAAAAATAGGCCCAGTGAATTGATGTGTCTCTGACAAACTTCGTGGGCCAGGCTAACCTGGTTTGTCTGGTGCCTTTTGCTATTATTTCTCAGTTGATACTATCAAACAGAAAAAGACAAAGGTGCAGAGTGCTGTTGGGGATGACAAGTGATGCCAATACCAAGCCTGTAGTTAGACAAGCAGAAGATAAGAAGCAAAAACTGCTCTCTCACAAGCTTCTATGTCTACAGCTTTCATAAAAGAAGAAGAAATATTGTTTCATCTTCTGAACTGAAGCTCCTACACAGATGGTGTTTAGCAGTGAAGATACAGAAAGATGGGTATAGTTGACAGAAGCACAGCGTTCCCTTCCCAAGGATGACTGAGTATTAAAAGGACACTGTACTGACTCAGTCTCTAGTGTGAATACTTCAGTCTCTAGCCTACATACTTCAGTCACAGGATACACAGCCTTGCATAGGCTCACAGAAATTTCACTACTTTCAGAGCCATGACAAGAAAACCAGGCAGGAATGGTCATGATAGCACTCTCTTCGTCAAGTACGTGGTACAGCATGACTTCTCGTAGGGCTATCAAAGTCCAGGTCAGCATGAAATCCTTTCTCCCTGGTCTGTGCCAGTCTAGAGCAAGCAGTCAGCCAGAGTTCATGGTCTCAGCCAGATCTTTGTCTAGGACTTGGACCTAATGGTAGAAAACTCCTCTCCTCTTACTTTCTTTACTTAAGTATCTTCTCCAAGGACTGATAGGATAGGACTGAGTGATAACAGCAGGTTGCTAAACCTGACTCAAACAGTGTGCAGGTGGCATACCTTGTCATACTTGGTACCTCTCCCAGAAAGGATGTAGACCTATGAAAATTCACAGATGCAGAGGAATTTCAGATATTACTACAGCAAATAACAGATATAATAGAGGAAGAGCTATACAACCTGCCATGTATCTGTATGCAGACTGACAATAGTAAAGGTCTTATTGCATATTATCTTATTTGCCTTTGGGAAATACCTTTTTCAATAGCATAGGTTCAGGTACTAACACCACTCTTTTTTGTTAATATAAATGTAAAATTTACATTCTTGGTAAATCTGTGGCTTGATTCATAGCTCTTCAGTTTACAGTGAAGTATACAGTTTACAAGCTGAAGTAATGCACTCCAAGAAGCTCACTGAGACACTGAGGGCATCCTTGATCAGACTCTGGAAGGCTGGTCAGATCCCACTGCCCCCATGATTTCTCTTACCCAGAACTATGAAGCTACCAATGCTGTACAGAAGGAAGAGCAGAGCCCCTGCTGAGTTCAGCTGGAGTCTAATGGAGGAGTTTGGAGTCATTTGCATGTCTGATGGGTTTTGGATAGCTCCCTGATAGCAGAGAAAGACAGTAATAACAGCTACAGACTAAGCTGAGGCAAGTGCAGCAGTAAGGATAAGGGCAAAACATACAGCGGAGGTCCCTGGCCCCACTAAGTCGTGTACTACTGGAGTACCCCTGAAGAATGTTTTGCACTACCTGTTGCCCTGACAGGCAGCAATCCACAGGGCAGAGAGTCCAGGCACCAGGCAGACACAGGAAACTTATCGTCTGCCTCCTTATTATCAGAGAATTATCATCTGCCTGCTTCTGCCCACAGAGGTTAGTGGAAGGAGCTGAGTGGGGCAGGCGGAGAAGGGCTCTGTGGCTGCTGTTGGGGAAGAAGCAGCTCTAGCCCCACACAATCCAGTTCACTCCACTTTTACATCCCTTCTTGTATAGCTCCGCTGTCCTCCTGTATCTCCTTCATTAAGTAGGAGGGGTAGTGGAAGGAGCTTTATACATTGCATATGACAGTGCTGCTTCTCCTTCGGTCCCTTACCTACTATCATACAGCAGCTACAAGCCCAAAGGATGTGTTCTGTCCCATTCCCCATGACTGCTGCAGGTAGGACATCATCCTACCAGAGCCTCAAGTGGTTGAAGGAGATAACACTTCAGTTTCACTGCACATTGATACACAAACAGCAGCTTCAATTGCTTTTAAATCCAAGACCTGTTTTTAACAATCGTGACATCTGTCTGAGTAGGCAAGGCAATTTTACAGGTTCTAAAAGTCCAGAACAATCCAGCTACAGTTGCAAAACTGGGCTGAGTAATTCATTAGATCAGGTTTGATATTTAGAAATAATTCTGCATTGATGTATACAGGACAAAGCACAGTGCAGCTTTCTGCCTCACAGCTCAGTGGTGTGTGTCTCACACTGGCTGGTTTGAAGGTGTAGCTTTCCTGAAAGAAAGAAGAAGAAAGAGAGAGATAGGGAGAAGGGAACAAGTATTAGTGCAGAGACATAAAATCTCCAGTCTTTTCTAGTTTTTTCAGCACATCCCAGGTGATTGTTCAGCAGCACAGCTAGTGCATCTAATGTGTACAAGGCTTGTGTGCTGGCTTGTTTGAGCTCTTTGGTGAGAAACAAGAGCCTGTGCTGGAGGGATGCACATAGTGGAGGGCCAGAGAAGTGCTGACTCCCTCATTTTAGTTATAATAAATGTTTGAGCTCTGGATATGCTTGCGTTGCAAAGAAATTAGATGTTGAAACACTTCAATATACATGTGTTAAAGAATCTGGTCTGATCTGTTTATTCTTTCCACAGAAAACAGCATTTTAGTTTGCCATCTGGTGATGTGCAGAAGGTGAGCAGAAGAGTTATTTGTATGGAGTTGAGGCAGAAAAGTTTCTAGGAGAAATAGCACCTTAAAAGCAGTAGTAGATGGCATAAAAACCAGAAGACTTGAGCATCTGCCCTCTTTTTCTAAGACTTCTCCCCTTGTTGGGTTGGGAACGATTGAGAAGCATAAGAGAGCCAACTGTCTGTGCCAGCAACCACAATAGCAACTGTCTCATGGTAAATAGCCAGGGTAACCTTACAAATGCTTAGAAAAAGCTCAGCATGAAGGTGGGCTGACATGGACAACACTTTGAGTTGATAAAGTCTAGCGGAGGCATGAAGTCTAGAATAATCGACCTGATTTTCAGCAGTTCTAATTACTCATATGCCTTGTAATGAAGTGAGTGTCAGTGAAGGGTAAGCAGCCGAAACAAGGCACTGTGAACCTTTGTTTAAGTACTAGCAGGTAAATCAATATAATAGAAGTTCTTCTAAACACTTTGTATTTCAGATCTGTGTCTCCAGAGATGAGCAGGAGTTAAAGGGGAACACAAAAAGCAGAAAGACAAACGAAAACCTGCAAGTGTTTGGATCTGAAAAATCTAAAATAATGATTTCATACCATATCTGAAATCATAATTTTTGACAAAATTAAATTATTTCATGTTTTTTCCTAACCACACATGCCATATTCCAAATGTCTAAATCTAAAGCTTTAAATCAATAACTCAGAGGTGCAGTGGAGTAATTTCATCTCCAGATGTTCCACTCGTGTGAAATGAATTTGGTATGTTCAGCTTCTTTTCACAGCTAGCAGAAGTCTTGGTTTCTTCCTTAGCACCAGAAATACAAAGGTATATACGATTTGCAATCCTAGTTCACAGTACAAATTATCATCAAAGGTCATTGGCAAAGCTGCCAGGAGCTTCCTGCAAGAACCCGCTTGCAGAATGTTATCTACTTGTTTGAATTGTTTCATTACAAATTCCTCCTACCAATGGAAAAAACCTCAAACCAAACATAAAAATCACCTACACACACATAAAAAGGAAACCAGACAAAAGATGAGAGAGGTTCCCCATGCCTCAAGACTTTGATTACTGTCTACTCTGAAGAAACTGGCAGAAATTCACAGTGTACACAGGAGGTAGGACTGAAAACAAAGCGCAGTAAATTAATGCTTTTGTCAGTTTATCTTTCATGCCCAAAGGAATACCACAGCCAAAATGTGCAGCCACAGACACCAGTTATTTTTTTGTCAGCCATTTAATATAGCCTCACCGTTAGTTCTCGTTGTCTGAATTGCTGTGCAGCTGAGACAGGAGATTTGAAAGTTAGCAGGAGCTATTGCATATTGCACTGTGAATCAGGAGGTGGCTTTAATGCCATTTGAGGAAAGCCATATTGTAGTTTGAACTGTAATTTGGTATCATTAACTGTACTCCATGACTAATGCTGAAATCCTAAGGGCGGTTTCTCATGGCCTCGAGCTTAATTCCCTAGCGATCAACTATCACATTATCCTGTCAGCTGTTTCTCAAACTTGCATGGGAAATTCAAATGTTATAAAGGCAGATTAAATCCTTCTACTGTATGATGGAAAATGGCTAAAGAGTTATAACAAATCCAATGGCTTTCTTACAAACCACTTTATACAATTCTTCAAATGCAGTCAAGTGTCATGAGATAAGAAAAAAATGAAGTACCCTTTAGATGAGAGCACAATACTCAAAATCGGATAGTGAACTTACTTGTGTCACATTGTCTGAAGTGTAAATGGGAACAGCAGGAATCAAAGGCTAAGATTATAGCATTCATCATCAAGCAGCAGATAGCTGTAACTGTCTTGGTTTCATTTCACTGACAGCAAAGGAGCCCCTTCTAGGTGAAGGAAAACCAGAGTAAGAAACTGACCCAGTACTCTCATCTTCTCATATAAAACTATATCCATCATTCTCAGACCAGTAAGACCAGACAGTCCTGCTGAACAAGCCACAACATATCTAGTATCATCCTAGATGTGCTGAAATGTGGAAGAAATACCAGGGCTTAAGGCTCAATTGTGTCTTAGAAGAAAATGGTGAAGGCAGAGAAACAAAAACAGCAGTAGAAGCTGGTCCTGTTTTCAGTCTCAAGGTTGAAGACATTGTTTTGCATTTCTTACCTTTTCATTTCATGGCTAATAAGTACCCTGCCTGTCTGCAGCAGACTTCTTTCAAGACCTTCAGTTCAAATTCATCCCTTCTCCACTGCTCTGAAGTGTACAAAAGCACAGCAAAGTGCAGCAACCAGTTCTGTTCTGTGACCTGGCTGGTGATAGCCAGCCTTCCTCCTCCCTCTTTGAGTGAGCCAGACTTGTTTCAGTCCTTGCTAGCTGGTTGTTTGCAGGAGCTGGGTCTCCACAGCTGCAATGGAATCAAGATGAGTTGTTGTTGCTGAACCCCTGTACCAATACTGATGTCACTCTTTAAGTATTTAATGCACAATCTCTTCATGCATTCCACTGCTGAGATTACATAGCACAAATTGCTTATTTATAGCAGTTTATTAAAGCTATCTCAAGCTAATCTAAATTAATTCTGCCTGGTCATTCCTCATCTGACAGCTATTGCTCATCACTGCTCAGGTAACTCACACTCCTGAAAATAGTAGCCCACCCTTCTAATTTCTGTGAGTTTTGAAAGCTCAGTTACAGGTCATTGGTTCACCTTTTGATGTAAATAATAATACATGTTGCTGAGACGTGACAAATCTGAAAACCAAGACAGGTACCAAACGGCATTTTGCAGCACAGGGTTAGCTTCTCAACATGAGCATTTCATTACATTGCCCAGCACAGCTGACACGTATTAATACTTATTGATGTTCCTCTGGAAAACAAAGAGAATTAGGGAGTAAGTACAAAAATACCAGGCTGAAGTACTGCTTTTGCTTCTTGTGTGGTGTCAGTGGGATGGAGTCTCTCTGACTGTATCTGTGTGATGGACGCAGTGACAGAGAAAATGGTTTGAACTAGTGGGAGAAGCAGTTATCCTGAAGAGCTCCATTGTGGGCTTTCTTAGAAGTGATTGACTAGAGAAGCTGCCAGCAGCCAAAGAGGCAGTGAGGAGTAAGGATGGTAAATGGCAAGACAACACAGAGCCTGAGCTGCTGGCAAATGTGTCATGTAGAAACAGCCTGCAAACAGATTAAGTAAGAGAGGCTTATAGTTACCCACCGCTGTTGTTTTCTGTCCAAACATCCCATTTCCATTACTGTTCTCATCAATTCCATAGGAAGATTTGCAGCACATACCAGACAAGGAAGTCAGGAAAGCCCTGGATATTCATGATAGATCTCAGACTCATAAACAAACTGTGAAAATTCAGATCTTCTTGTCATGTCAACTGATAGCAGATGCAGGAGGGGGTGTCCAATGGAACTGGCACTCTTTGCTCAAAGAGCATTTTCTGACCTTCTTCAGGAGAAATGGCATGCCCCTGAAGCTGCCTGACTCACTGGGACAGGCTCCTTTGTGGCTTCTTTTCTGTTTCTCTGTGAATAAATGAAGACCAGTGGGTTCTTCAGCTCTTTGAGATGTCTCTGTCATTTGTTTATTTGGTATAGGAGAAAAAAAATGTGACTAATTCATTCAATTTCATTTCTAAGTGCAAAGGCCAGCTTGGCAAACACGCTCTCAGCTGTCAATATTCAACTCAGATTTGAGATGCAGTGAACTTACAGGATTCATGGTATAGGAATCAGGAATTCTTGGCTTGTTAAAGAGTTCCAAATTGTTGAATATTCTTGACAAGAGGGGAGACTTTTCTGACTCCACAGAACAGTTCTAGGGACCTCCATGCAGTTGGCCAACACATTTGGAATTTAAGGACTGCAGAATTAAGATATATACAGCTCTATTCTGTGAATAAGAATTGATTTATCTTGGGATTCTGTTTTTAGAAAGAGCTCTTAAAAACCCCAAATAGAAATGTGTGGTCTTGTCTTGCTATTCAGAAAGGTGCTTGATAATAAAAAAAGAATAAATGACTAATCGGTGTTATGCTAAGGTATGGTTTAAAACAACACACAGAAAATCAGCCAACAGAAGTTTTTCTGAGCATTTTAAGACGTGCTTTGTTTTTATAAGCTCCTCCCATTATAAAACACAAGAATTATTAATTATTGTAGGCTTAAGTAAAAATATAATATGTTGAGGAAGATACAGATTTAGTGACAATCTGGTCAATCTGCTTTAACTTCACAGTTAGCAGAGAGAGGAAGGTTTGCTGATGTACCGTGCAATGCAGCACTTTATTGTGCACGCACCCTGCATCTATCGTGCTTCATCTCCAGAAAGCAGCTGCTTGATATTCCTTGCTATTGAATACCTGCCTCCTGAGAGTATCTCCTGCACAGGGAAACTATTTGTGTCTGCATCTTCAATAGCTGGTGGTGTTGCACTGCACCCACCAAGCACATCATTGGCCTTCTTTACAGGCAGTGTGAGCTCACTTCTCTGCAGCAAGGTGATCCAAATATGTAAGTGTTTTGAAATAACACACTCCAGTGCATAGCATGGAAAGACTGTGGGGGCAGTGAAAGGCCCCTAAAGTGGACTCCAAATAGCTCTCACGATGGTGAAGTCCTTTCAATGCAGGGATATTCAGAACTGGGATGCCGTGCTTAACTGGGCACAAGTAATAATTTTCTGAATAAATCTATGATGGATCAGGAACAGAGGAATCTGACTAATGCAGATTTGTGTAGACCACAGAAAACATTTTTTGTGCTATTATAATGTTAATATTAGGGATTTGATAGCCAGATTATCAGCTTCATTTTGACTTGAATTCTCTGCAAAGCACATTAGGATCTTTTTTCACCGAGCAGAACTTCCTTTGTTAAAAATAGGGAAAAAAAATCAAAACAAGCAGCCCAGAGAGGGAGGAAAGATTAACTGTAACATACAAAAATTACACTTTCTCCCTTGCTCACCAGAACTTAACAGTAACAAATCCCTATAATCCCATTTTCTAGTAGAAATAAAAGAGGCTGCTTATTTCCACTGTGCTACATTTTGCTGGCCAGGGTAAGGGCAGCCAACCATGCAAGAAAGTGACAAGCCACCGTCAATCACACAAGCACTTCCAGAAACATGACTATTGAGGTGGTCCCATTGGCTTTTACTGCGCTGCTTCAGTGGTCATGGTTCTCAAAGCTCTTCCTGTATGTTGTTTATCTTCATAAAATCAGATGGAGAATGGGGAGGATGCTCCATAGAACTGCAATGGGAGCTTCAATCCCTCAGAGTGCTGGGGCATGCATATATAAACTCCAACCAATCAGGCATCCCCTGACCTGCATTTATAGGGGCCTTTCCACGTGGTAAAAGTTGGAAACTGTTCATTCATACATCACTCATTTTTATTCTGAATATCCATCATCAGGCAAAAGCAAAGTACTTCCAAAAGGTAAGCAATGGCTGAAGTTATTCTCTTTGTGTCAGTCGTGTGCTGCCATGGAGGGGATATTAATATTCCGGTTACGCAGGTTCCCAGGAAAGAAAAAATAGACATAGAAATGATAAGTGACTGCATGTGTAAGCTTAGACAGAATGATTCAAATTACAGCTCTGATGTGAGAACTTCATTAGAAAAAAAAAAAAAAAAAAAAGCCTGAGCAGCTGAAATGAAGAAGGATTTTAAATTTGAGGAAAAAAAACCTATTTTTGCCTGGACCACGTATACACACAAACGGGAATTTCCTTTCAGGGAACACTCAAGATAGCTTTCCACTAATTTTTCTCCAGTTACTTCCCACAGTTACATTCTGGCTGCTTGGCAGCGCTCTGCCAGCTCAGTTAATGAGACTTCTTGCCCAAAGTCCAGGGTCCAGCTTTCTGAGTTTTAGAATCTCAACTTCCCAGTCATGTTCCCCATCTGACCCCAAGCAATTGCATCTTGGCTTCTCCATTTCTGAGCATTATTTGTACAGCTGGGAAAAACCCTCCTGGTTTTGAGCCAAACCCCTGCTTTTCTTGGTTCTGTGGATCCCATTCACTTGTCAAATACTGCTATTTTTTAACAGTCTGGATTTCACCACCACCTGACTGGTTCTGATATCTCAGGGTACCAATGGCCCTTTCCTCCTCTCTTTAGTGTTTTTTGAACCTGTTCAAGGGATTTCATAAAGCCCCTGAGGCATTTTCTTTAGCTGCTCTAAGGGACCCCATGTAAGAACCATTTCACGGATTTATCATTTAACCAAACATCTGCTCTCATTTTTGCATTACTGAAAGTTTCACTCACTGTAGGAAACAGATGTAAGCATTTAGTGAAGCTTTCAAAAGTGTTCAAAACGCAATGGACAAGATCAGAACCCTCTTTCTATCCTGTAACTTAGATGTAGAGGAAGTCTTGCTTTCCAGAACCCTTGCTGTCATTTCCCTCCTCTTCTGTGTCTGCTGGAAGTGCAGGAAAGACTGTCCCCATCCCACCAGCAGCACAGCCCACCACCGCTCTGTCTGCCTCTGCTCTCCCTGCCAGCTCCTGCACTCCTCTCTGTTTCCCAGTTAGAAACTTAGTAAGTTAGAGGAACACAGCCTGCTCTCTTACCTGCATCCTCCTGGGTGAGGAGAGTCTCCTCCAGAGAGCCCCATCTTCCATCCAGGCTATCCACTTCCACAGGAATCCCCAACACCTTGAATTCCTTTGCAGTGTGACCTATTAGTTATCAAAATCCAGCCTGGGAAAGTGGTAGCTGGGTTTGCTGGTTTAACTGGAAATTTGAGACAGCTTGGCTCAATCAAAGCTTTATTTTTCTCAGTGGGGAATCTATATCCTTTAAGAAAATGTTTTCTGGGAATTTTCTCTCCCTCCCCCCAGTTTTATTTATTTGTGGAGTTTCTAGTCCTGATGGCAATGCACTTTGGAAAGCTTTGATTCTGGTGAGATGACGCATTATTTGTTGTAGCTTGGTGCAGCAGGAGAACCAGGTCACAATTTCTTTCCTTAGAAGCTTTGTTGCCACAAAGAGCAGCACTGCTTTGTCTTTATTATCTGCTTGTCAGACTTCAGCACACTGCTTTCTCTTGGAGATAAAATCAGTGAGACAAATCTAGTATATTCCTTGGTGAAATTGCCTTACAGGAAAGCCAGAGTGCAGGCACAGGAGGGGGCCAGGGAGAACCTGGCAGTCTTAAAATGATCCCTGTCTCTCCTGTTTTTTCCTTTAATAGGGATGGCAAATAACCTTGTGCAGAATGTGGGATTATTCACTTAGCTCTGCTCCTGACCCCTGAGTACAATGAAAGCTTGACCTGAGATCCTTTCTGGTTTGTCATTAGC